CAAGGGGGGCATAGTCACAGGAAAGGAGGATGGAAAGGGTCCTGGCAGTTGGGAAAGGACCTGCTGAGTGTCCACTCCCCGTGGGCAGCGGGCAGGCAGGGGACCAAGGCTTAGCAAGGGCCCTGAGCTGCGAGGGCAGGGAGGGAAGGCAGTTAGAGCCCCAGGTCAGGAGCCCGGTTCCTCGACAGCAGTGTGCCAAGTAGCCCCCAGCCGCGGGGGGCAGGCAGCCGGAGCACAGCCTACGCCCGGCCTCTGGATTCCTCCAGAGCTTCGGACACCACCGCAGTGTGACAAATGCTCTCCCTCAAAGCAGCCCCAACCAGCCAGCCCTGCAGCCCCTCTGGTCTCAGTGCAGCCCAGGCTAGAGAATGGGAGAGACTGGAAGGAAGCTCAGGGTCAAGGAGGCTGCTGGACAGGAGGTGCTCGTTGCGACCCCAGAGCCTCCCATTGCCCTGGAAGGTCCTTGACTTTGCTGTCACCACTAAGCTAGGTCCCTCCATTAAAGCAAAGGGACAAGAATGCACAGAGCACCCCTTTGTCATTCCTCTTAGCACAGCTGAGACCAGCTGGCATTTTCACAAAAGGATTTACTAAATACTAAGGGAGAACAAAAGGGAAATAATTACAGAAAACATGAAGAACCCAGCCCTGGCTGCCAAGTTCCCAAAGGCCTGAGGCAAGGCTGCGGCTCCCCGCCTGGCTTGTTCGTAGCCCTCGTGGCGGGTGCCATCTTGTTTCTCGCCCCTGAGAACGGCTGGGTCACCCGTGGCCTCGGCTCTTATCTCCCTTCCAACTCGGCTGAGCCCCAGGCCCCCCACTGGGGTCTGGTCTCCAACCCAAGGCGTGAGCCTTGTCCCCTGGGCACTGGCGGGGCTGTGGTGACCAGCCCAGGACATGATTACACAGTAACAGGAGGCTGTCCTCCCACACTCTGGCCCCACCAGAGAGGCCCACCCACGTTGTCACGAGCGTGGGATCCAGAAGGCCTGCTCCTGGAGGCAGAAGGACACGTGGGTAAGGAACGGGCAGACTTGGGACGGTTTTCCTGTGGGGAGAGAAGAAAGGACTCTGAGGATTAGCCCGACTCAGCAAACACTAATGAAGCCCCTACTGTGTGCCAGGCACTGCACAAGGTGCTGGAGATCCAAGACTGAACTGGTGTCTGTCCTCTCAGGGCTTACAGTCCATGGGAAGGTGGACAAGCAGCTGGGTAGTGGTGAGCCTGGCGACCAGGTGCCATGGTGAAGGGGCAATTCAAGGTGCTGCGGGAACCTGCACGAGGAGCATCTCGCCCAGTGGTGGTGGCCAAGGTGAGCCCTGGAGTCTACCTGGGTGGGGTGCCTGGAGAGAAGGAGAGGAGCTCGGGGCTGAGGCCGTGTGGAGCCCAGGAAGCAGGAGCAGGCCAAGGAGAGCGACTAAGCATCTTCTCGCCGGTGACTCTGGGTAGCAGGTGGCTACAGCATGTCCATCCTATAGAGTGGGAAGGCCCTCAGCCCCCATGGCCCACTGCTGCTCTTCCTGCCAGCCAGGTCTGGGGCTCAGGGACAGGGTCAGAGAGAACTCCCTGTTCTCAGGGAGAACACTGCTCTGGCACCAGCTGCCAAATTGTCATCAAAAGACGAGGTAAAGTCATAGTTGGGAAATAGTTCAGAGGTTCCAGACATGCAGAGGCTAGGCCAAAATGGGAAAATGAGTCAAAATCAAAACCCAGGAAAGAGGAATGGATTCAGGCTAAGACCATGACTAATGCACGTGTGAGAAGCCTGTGCTCTGGCAGGGCAGCCTAGTGTGCGGCATTAGAACTCATGACAGCTGTTACGGACCAAATTGGTTCTACAGCCACGACCCTTGTGTGTAACTGTATTCACCCCCTGTGGCGCAGTCAGCTCCACGCTTGGGAAGAGGGCTGCTCCCTCCTTCCACATGACAACCTTTCAGAGTTTGTCAAACACCTAGTCTGGTCCAGAAAGGGGAAGACCCAGAAAAGTCTTGAGACTCTGGCCCTGCTTTCAAGGTATTTGCAATCTGGATGCTAGAGAGAGATCACACTCACTGGAGAGAGCTTTGGAGAGAGTAGCTGCTACCCATTTCTGTCCTTCCTGAGTAACTAAGTGGCTATGGGCAAATTACTGACACTCCTGGGCCTCCATGTTACCCATCTTCAAAATGAGAATAATTAAAACCTACCTCACAGATTCGTTGTGAGGATTCGATGAGTTGAGGTGTTTAGAGCACCAGACACACTGCTTGGCACATAACAAGTGCCCAATAAATGTCAGTTCTCTCCCCAAAACAACAACCAATGGTCATGACGATAAACAGTTAAACACTGAGTTGTGAGCACTGACTTGACCAGTAGATCTGCTCAGCACCTGAATCTACACAGCAGCGAGGGAGTGCACGCACGCACGTGCACCCAGCTCTCCCCATCCTTTGGCTCCTCTGCAGTCAGCAGAAGCAAGAGACTTTGTTTTCTACTTCATTCTGTGATGACAAAGACTCTGCTCTGTGACTACAGTGTTTTTATCTGTAATAAGAATCAAAAGTTTATTGGATATTATGCCTAAACTACCATTTCCTGCGCCCCAGGCCCGTTAGCAGTCCTCACCTATGCGGTAAGCGCTCTGATTATCCCCTCTTTAGACGGAGGCAGCTGGGGCTCTGAGCAGGAAAGGAAGTTCTTCGTAGGGCTGGGAAGGGCTGAAGGCACAGTTCCTGGGAGCAGAGCCGAGCGGAGCCGCCAGCGCACTTCCCTTAGACTGGATGTGAGCGAGACAAAACTTCCATAGACCCATCTACATTAGGGGGTCTTGCTGGTTTCTACCAGCTACCCTACCTCATTCATTTCAAAACCCAAGAAGCCACGTTTGGAAGAGTATGGTTCCCAGTTCAGGGACCAAAACACCGAAGTGCACTTGCAGGAGCTGCAGACATTGCCCAGACACTGAGCCTACTCCAGAGTGTAAAGGAGAGAGCTGCAGCACCTGAGCCACCTTACCCTCACCTCCCATGAACATAAACTTCGAGGGACCCTCCATACTCTATGCCCAGGAACTTGGGCAGTGCCTGGAGCACAGTAGGGCTGAAGCAGTATGTGTCCATTGAAAGGATGAATGCATCAATACAAATTCACAAACGTACAATATATACAGCCCTGTACACACACAGTTTTAGGCAAATATGCCCTGTAAATAAATGTTCAAAACATTCAGTTATAGACAGGCATATGTAACGGGTACTTCAATACACATACTCATGTATAATACATACCATGCCTCCACACACAAATCCAAATTCAAAACAAAGACACACACAAACACGTGTGTATCTGTGCAGATGTTATGGGCAAACACATATGGTCTAGAGATGCACAAACACACAGCGATTCACCTCCACACACACGCACAGTGATTTCCAGACACCCTCCAACTTGCCCCCAAGCCCAGGAAGCAGTCTGTCTGCCCCACGAGCCCTAGCATGTTGGACCTTGTCAGTAAGTCCTTCACAGGCCCCACTTAGCCGACTGCGTTCCTGGACCTCTGGCCTTGGGGTGGGCCAGGCAGGGAGGCAGCATTGCTAGCAGCCCCTCGTGGGTGGGCAGGCAGGCAGCAGACACAGAGGTCACTGGGGTGACAGCCGGGGCTGCCTGGCCTCCCTGCTTCTGGCGGGAATGTGCGCTGCAGGGGCCGCCCCCCAGGCCTCCCTCCTCTCCCACACCCAGCTGCCCCCAGCCTCACACCTGGGCCAACCCCTGACCCCAAATCCTGCCAGGTTCTTGTAGCCGAGGAGCCGCACACGGAGGGTGACGGTGGGGGTGAACAAACACTCGAGGACTGTGGGGGGTGCACACAGATGCACAGAGAGATGAACAATCTCACACAGAAGCTGGTGCCAACATTCACACACGGAACAAGACACGCACACAAAGACACAGGATGACATACAAGTTCACAGTCCCCCTGAAATGCACAACCAGACACACTTCCAAGCATACCTAGAGACACAGCCGACACACGCATGTAGTCACATCAGCAGCCAGAGATACCAGGAAGCCAGAGCCACACAGGAGTGCCACTTGCACATACAGTGGACACATACACACTCAGATCACACAGACACTCATAGCACAAGTGGACCGTGACAGTCACACTTGCATGCCCACACAAGCACGGAGAGCTGTCGGCAGACCCCCGCAGAGCTGGAGCGGTCCTTCCGCCCCCTGGGACCAGGAGGAAGTGTTGCGCTAGGCCACGGTCCAGTACACACGTGGCGGGCTCGCAGGGCGGGGAAGGCCACTTCCCACAAGAGCAACGGGATGCCTTGCTGTCTGCGGGCTTGGCCACGAGGAGGGTGTGAGGGGCAGAGAGCCAGTTCTGGAGTCAGGTGGCTTGGGGTTCGTCACTATCAATTACACACAGACACACTTTTTCGAGAGCGTACGTGTATACAATACATCATGCGGGGGCACTCTTGGAACCTCAGTCTCTTCAACCTTAAAATGAGGTTAATAATCCTTTCCCCCTGAGAATCGTGGGATGGCATAAGGGGGCACTGCGAAGGGTCAGACCAAATTGCCGCCTTCCTGGTGGTCCGGGGACGCAGCTCCTGCAGAAGTCGCTGAAGTCTTGAGCCTCGTTCGCAGACTTTGGGCTCCACAGCTGGATTTCCTCCCGCCCTTAAAGGTAGCCAGCCTACAAGCGCGGGAGACACTGGGTCTTGGTGGCCCGGACACCAGGCTGCGGCATGGGCTCCAGCGGAGCTCAGGGTTCCGCGATCTGAGCGTCCCGTCCACGCACTGCGGGACGAGCGCACTGCGGGACGCGCTCACCGAGGGACCAGCGCGCTCCGATTCGCGCTCCGCTCCACGCGACCCCACCGCCGGGGCGGCGGTGCTCCGCCGCTCCCTGGAAGCCTCGTCCGCTGTGGGCGGGGCGGGCCTGGAGCCCCGCCCCATTCGCGGCCCTTGAAACCCAGTCGCCGACCAGCTCCAGTCCCAGAAGGGAGCTGCGTCTGAGCAGGAAGCTGCATCTTCACTGGCCGGCCGGGAGGAGACCTGCGGTCGCGCCGAGAGTCCGACGGACCTTCCCCAGGGGCGCGTCTGCCGTACACCGCCTCGCCCCGCCGGGCGCTTCGCATCAGGTTTCCCAGCCGCAGACTTACCTAAGGGGTCCTGAATTCCCAGGGCTTCCAGAGGATGCTCGGGCCACCAGCGGAGACCTTGGGGTAGTGGTGAGGGTACACACAGCCCCCCACTCAGCGCTTCTCCTCCTGTACCAGGGGCTCCCCCAGGGGGATGAGCAGGGTGACTCTCCTGGCCTGGGACATCTGAGAAGATGCTTGCTATGAGGCTGCTCACTTGCTTCCTGCAGCTCCTGGCTGGGCTGGCGCTGCCTGCTGTGCCCTCCCAGGTAAGACCCCCCCCCCACCCCAGCCTGGCTCCCCTGGTCTTCCCAGCCCCTGAACTCAAAGAAGTCACAGACCCACGCCCGGAAGCGGCACCTCCAAGGATGTCATACATTTCCCTGCAGTCAGGCTGGACCATGCTGTCTGGGAGGAGACCTGGGGCTGGGCTGTCCCAGACTTCAGCTCTGGGGTCTGTCCTGGTGGGGGCAGGGAAGCCGCAGAAAAGGAGGGAGGTTTCCTGTCTGGCCCCTGGAGCCACAGTGGCTTTGCTAAAAGCATCTCTCTGCTAATCCCAGGCCAGTCCCTGGCCTTGTGGTCAGGGTCGAGGCCTGTGACTAGGCAGGCGCCCCCAGGACCTCTGACCTGGTCTGGCGGAGGGGAAGCGGCAGAAGAGCCCGCTGGAGGGGAGGCTGGGTCCTGCCCGAGTAGGGCCTGGGCTGAGCCCAGGGCTCCAGGAGGGGGGGGCAAGACAAGGGGTCCTGCTGTGCCGTCTCTCCCGGGTGGGCAGCCGGAGGTCTGGAGTGCAGGGCCTGGGGAAGTGATCAGGGCCCTTTTCCCAGGAGCGGGGGGAGTCTGGCCAGGAGCCAGCTTGGGCAGTGAGATCCTGACAAAGCCAATGAGCTGCTTTCCCGCTACTTTGTCCCACTGCCCTGGGAGTCCCGGGCTCCAGCCCAGGAATGGGTGGGCTAGGCAGACCCCTGAGGCAGAAGAGCTCCGCCAGCAGCCACCTGCTTGCCTGCTGCAGGACTGGCCAGAAGGGTAGTGTTACCCGCAGCACCAGCTCATGGCGCCACCCGCTTCAGCCCCTCAGCTCCCACCAGCTGATCACCTCTCCCAGCCCCTGGCACCCAGCCAGAGTCGGCTGTACTGGACCCAGCAGGGCTGGTCTGGGGGCTGGGGAGGAAGAAAACCCCGAAGCATCGCAAGACCTTTGGAACACAGAAAGCAGAGTGTCTCCAAAAGCCTCCAGACTCCTATCCTTTCCCAACGAGGAAACGGAGGCCAGAGTGAGGGCTGGGACCCACTCAGGGGCCAGTTAGGTTTTAGTTGGACCTGGAAAGAGGCAGCGCTAAGACAGGGCAGGGAGTGCGTGCAGTGGGGGGAAGGAGAGTAGAGGGGCCTCTGTGCTCTTGCCAATACACTCGGCCCAGAGCACAGAGGCCTGTGGTGGTCCCCCTCATCGCTGCACTGTTCTGTCCACAGCAATCGGCCTTGCCTGCCAGGGACAACTCGTCAGAGACGGGAGGTAAGCAAACTGGGTTGATGTGTGTGCTCACCGACTCCATCCCCCCACACCTCTGCGGAGGATGGGAAGGGACGGGCATGAAGGGTGGGTGCAGAGTGGTATTAAGTTGAGGAAAGTCTGCAAGCTGGCTGATGCCCTGGCTGACAAAGTTGTCAGGGTTTGAGAAATGCCCCCTTCATGACCCAGAGGCCTAGAGAGGTTTATGCCTGGGCCCTGGTCACCCAGAGAGCAGGGCTGGGGCCAGTGTACCCAGGGGCGGTCTAGTTGGTTCAGAGCCCCTTCCCAGCATGATGTCAGGGGGCAGACAGATGAGGTCTTGGAGAGCAGAGTGGGCAGTGAGTGCCAGGGGCTTGATTGGTGGTCTGGGAGCTGGGTGCAGTGAGCACAAAATCAAGAGAATTGGGAGGGGAGAAGGGACCTTCCCAGCAGCCAGCCCTTTCCATTGATTACAAACAGACAGAACATGAGTCGTGCCCTCCCTGGCCTCTCCACTCCCCACCCCGTGTTGCAGCAAGAGGGAATCTTCAAAGGGCTAGATGATTGCCAAAGAGACATACGTGCGGAAAGCAGGATGCTCGTGCCAGGCCCCCTGCCTTGCTCCGCCCTCTCTGCCTCTCCAAGACGTGCGGTGGGGCCACACACCATTTCTGAGGCCTCCCACGGTTCTGTGGAAGAGGAAGCATGTAGGGACACGCATACGCACATACGTGATAGCCAGTGGGAGCTGGGAACACCCTCTCTCCTGGGTCTCAATCCCTGACTGAATCCCTGCATCATACCCAAATCCGCAGTGCCTTGAGCACGGCAAAGCCGGAGGTGGCAGCCCTTGACTTGGTCAGTAACCCTCCCCCTCCCCTTGCTGGGCCCCCTGCAACTGGCACAATATTATGCTCTCTGAGATTTGGGGAGGAGACGATCACCATTTCCGCCCCTTGTCTTTTTGGGTGCTTTTAGTGTATTCCGGGCAATAGCTACCAAAAAAGTCTGAGCCTCGGTTTCTTCATCTGTAGATGAGAGCAGTAGACTACATGATATCTAAGGTTTTTTTCTAAGACTGTAGGATTCTCTGACTCTGTTGAGGGAACACAGGAGCATTTATCTTCTGGGGACCAGGGGGAAGAGGCTTGGAAGTGTCAGTTCATTAGGGCAGGTAACCTGTCATCCTCAACACCAGGGGGGCCTGTGCTGTGGCCAGGGGAAGTCCCGTGAGCTTTGGACCCCAGTTACCAAAATCCAAAAATGCCGTCCCCTCCTACTGGCACTGGACGAGAGACGGCATGGTCTGTACATGGCATCTGTGGATTACGATTACTCCCGTGGTAACAGTATTGGGCATTTAATGTAATTCTGTGTTGACCACAGGCCATGAACTAGGAAGGCATTTGTGTTCTCCAGATTTTACAGATGAAGAACCTGAGGCTCCCAGGGGCCCTTAGAGTTGCCTAAAGCCTTGGACACTCCTCAGTATCCACGGCTGAGCAGACATGAGCTGAGTGTCCTTTGCAGAAAGCTGGCTGTGTGCCCCACCAGTGACTATGGAGAAGACACCTGCTGGGCTTGGGCTGCTGGCCAGCAGTTCTGCCCAACCCTGTGGCCTCCCGGTAGCCTCCCCAGGAGCTCAGTCTTAGGATGAAATATTTCCCTTCTTGAGTATCCTTCGTCCTGGGTGGCGGGCAGCTAGAGCCAGATAGGAGGCTTGCCCACAGAGCTGTCAAGAGCTGAGACCTCACTCGTGGCCCTGGGAGCAGCCCCCCCAGACACAGCCGGCCCAGCCCTTGGCCTGGCGCTGGACCGGGCCACTGCTGCCTTGGGGGCAGGCCTGGGGCTGCAGGAAGTGCTCTCAGGAGTAGCGGAGCAGAGCTCTTTCCTGAGTGCCTCGGCTCACGTCTGGGAGTGGTCACCGCCTGCTTAGCTGACCCCTTACCCAGCCAGTGCCTGTTGTTGCTCCAAAACTCCCAGGCAGTGGCCTCCAGGGATGAATCGCCCTTTTCTCCTGGTGGCTGCCAGGTAAACCAGGCCCAGCTCTCCTCTGTCTCAGCCTTTCCCCAACACGATCTGGCCACGTGGCGGATGTCGGGGCCCTGGAGCCTGGGCCCTGCTGTTGCAGGCTGTGTGGTGGAGAGTGGGGGTGAGGAAAGGAAATCCCTTCTTTTGCCGCCAGGGCTCAGCTGGCTCTGCTTAACCTGGCTGTGGCCCCAACAGCCCAGCTGGATGGGAGTCTGTTTGCAGACTGGTAGGGGGCTGGGGTACCCCTTCTCTGCTGTGTTCCCCTCCCTAATGGCTGGTCCCAGAGGAGGACTCTGAGCCTCCTCTAGCACTTTGTCGGCTGCCTATCCTCTGCTGTTATTTATGTTTTCCAAGGTGGAGATTAAATGTTCAGAGTTACATAGTGTTCATTTTAGACTAAACACACATTGGTGGAGTTACAACAGGGAGGTGCCCCACTGCCGGAGCAAAGGCCGGCTTCCCTGGGGCTGCCGGGCTGCGTAGGGGGAGAGGGGCTTGTTTCTTACTTGGGGGTCCAGGGAGAGTGTCCCAGTGGCCTGGGGAGGTAGGACCCAGGCAGGCGTCTGGCCTCCCTCCCGTCCCTGGGCCCAGCCCCAGTGCCCCCTCCACAGACAAAGCAGAAGGGAGCAGCAGACGCCCAGATAAGCGCGCTTTATTGCCTGTGCGGCCTCCTGGGCCTGCTCCGTGTGGACACACTGCCTCCTGGGTATTTTCCACCAGCTTGCAGCCTTTCCTCGGGGCCTCTGCGAGGGCTGACGTTTATTTTTCCTCTGAGATTACCCTGAGACTCACGTCCTCATAGGCTCACCGGAGTGGACTTTGGCCCCTCCTGCCTCCTAGAAAGGGCTGTGGAAGGAGGTGAGGGGCGGCCGGGAGAACTGCTGTGCTGGGGCAGAGATCTCGGGGCCCCCGGCTGACCCAGGTCCCACATCCTCTCCCACCAGCTGAGGACAGCCATCATGTGTAGGATGGGATGACCCGGAGACAGACATGTTGCCCTGCCCCTGGTCTTGAGGCTGGACTGTGTTTCGTAGACCAGAATCATGGACCGTCTGTGAGAGCTGGGGGAGACCTTAGCAACCATCCATTCCCAACCTGCTCCTTTTTCCCCGGCCGAGCAAGCGGACACACCCAGAAATGTTAAGTGACCTCCCAAAGGTCACACAGTCAGTGTAGGGCCAAGACTAGAAGCCAGGTGTCCGGGTTCTGGCTACTCACTCCTGTGAGCCTCTGTTTGGGACCAGGCCTCAGGACTTCCCCTGAAGAAGCAGCATCTTTTGAGAGATTCCAGATAGGCCCCCAAAAGCTCTTGCTCATGACCACCAGGACATTGTGGGGGTCAGGGATGTCCCTGATCATCTTCAGTGAGCAGTCATCCAATCAATCAGTAATTATTTAGCTTGTGGGACCAGGTGCTTGGGTCCCTGTTCTCACAGAGCCTTAAGCCTGGATTTGGTTGGAAGGGGGATAAGAACCACCAGTGACTGAATGAGGCAAGCGGCGGAGCCTAGTTATACTCAAAGGAGGGACATCTGTTCATCCTAGAGAAGTTGGAGAAGGCTTTGAAGAGGAGGCAGGGAAGTGGGCTTTGAGAAGTGGGTGGTCGGCTGTATTGGGTTAGAGATGAGAAGTCAGGGAGGAGCACAGCCCGAAGGTGGGAGTCGTGCTGATGTGGCCCGGTTTGGTTCCAGGGCTGGTCCAGTGAAATGAGGGGTAGGGAGGGACACGTTGCTGGCTGTCGTCTCGGCCGCCAGGCAGGGGAGCTGGTCTGGAGTGGGGCGGGAAGTGCGGACTAGAGCAAAGGCTAACCCTCCCCTTGGGGCTCTGCCAGCCAGTCTCGCAGATCTTAACTGTTTTTTGGAAATTACCCAAGACCGAGGAAGCACCTGTCCGGCCGGAGAAAGACCCCTTGAGCCTGGGCAGCGGCCAGGGCTCACTCCTCCAAGCTCTGAGGGCACCAAGGCAGGTGTGGGGGCCTGAGCCGAGAACACTGCAGAGAGGTCAGGCCACAGGAATTGCATTCCACTGGAATTTCTGTCTGGCAGGTGTGCTAAGGATCCAGCCATCTTCCCAGAGGGGTCACATCAGCTCGGAGCTGATGGAGCTCAGATAGACTGAGGGCTTCCTGGAGGAGGAGGAGTGGGCTAAATCCGGAAGGCTCTGCAAAGCCGAAGGAGCCAAGACTGGGGCTTTGAGGAGTGGGCCCCTCCTGACCTGACCCAGCCGACTGTGTCCCCTGTAGTGGTGCCCTTCCAGGAAGTGTGGGGCCGCAGCTACTGCCGGTCGATGGAGAAGCTGGTGAACATTGTGTCGCTGTACCCCAACGAAGTGCAGTACATGTTCAACCCGTCCTGCGTTGCCCTGCTGCGCTGCACCGGCTGCTGCGGTGACGAGTCCCTGCACTGCGTGCCGGTGGAGACGGCCAATATCACCATGCAGGTAGGGAGGGTGTCCTCCTCATGTCCCGCCTGCCCCATGTCCACACCCTACTCAGGGGACCACACGACATGGCCACCAGAAGGGACCTGGAGAGGGTGGGAGGGCAGGCCAGGTCACAGGACTGCAGCTGCCTCCCCCTCACCGCCTGTCCCCTCACCACCCAGCACAGTGACCCTCCTCTGTGAGCCCACTCTCCTCCTCCCTTGTCATCTGTCCCAGGCTCTAGCTGAGCCCCACTCCAGGGCCCAGATACCTGGTTTCGGATGGAAAAGATTTGAATCCGCCCAGACTCAGGAAGTCCCTGGTTATACCGAGCGCACTGGTGCCCTGAGCCTCGCTCACACACACACTGTGCAGTGTGGAGCCCTCACCATGTAATGCTGAGCACTGCGCTAGGCAGGCACTTCTTAAACACTGCCTCAACGTTCAGTCCTTCAAGGCAAGTGCTATTCCCATTGTCCGGACTAGGAGCTTGAGGTACAGGTCTATTATTTCCCTTGCCCAGCAGGTGGAAGATCCAAAATTTCAACATACATCTCTCTGAGTCCAGAACATGGGCCGACACTGTCGCTAAGCTGGAGAACATGCATAGAAAGAGACAGGGGCCTCCCTCAGATTCACAAGCAGGTGGGAGGGCTGTTTGCCCACCCACAAAGCAGAATAAGGGCACGTAGTACAAAGGGTGGGAGGAAACGAGGCATCTGGCCCTCCCCCCAAGGCAGGTGTAGCAAGAATGTTGGAAACCTATGGCCGCCGCCCCCCTCCCCAGGCCAGGCGCCCGACCATCCTCTCCCCACAGATCCTGAAGATCGGCTCTAAGAAGCAGTCCTTTTACGTGGAGATGACATTCTCCCAGCACAAGCGCTGCGAGTGCAGGTGGGTCCTCAAGGGGAGGCAGGGACACGCCCCATGCCTCCGGCAGCCTTGAGAAGCGGGCGGTAGGCTTGGCTGGGTTAGCCACGCGGCTGCCCATCCTGCTGCAGGCTTCGCTTCCTCCCTGGCGAGGGAGAGCAGGCGAACCAGGGGCCAGAGGCCGCTGTGCGTTGCCCCGCACCCCCATCTGCGGGTTTTCGCTGAGGAGGTGGTCCCGGTAGTCGGAGCACTGCTGCTGAGAAGCCCCCGGGGCAAAGGAAGCCTGGGTCCCTCTCAGACTTGCAGGGGCTCGGAGCATATCAACCCCCTTCCTCCCAGAGAGAGGAGGCGGCTGCCACAGCACCGGAAGAGACTCTGGGGCAAGGACTTGATAGGCCCGGGCTTAGTTCTGGACCAGGCCGGTGCCTGTAGAAGGGGACAGCCGGGCAGAGGAGCCTGAGGTAGGACGAGCCATGGCAAGAGGAAAGGGCAGAAGGAGGAGGCATTGGGGTTTCTGTAAGACCACACCCATACCTGCCAGAGCCTCTGACCGGCCCGCTCCTGGGGCGCCCGGAATGTTAGTTACCGGGAGGAGCAGGCTCGGCGGTGCCATCCAAGCCTAGTGGGGAGAGAAATGAGCTGAGGGGCTGTGCTGGCGCCCTGGGCCCTGGATGGAGCCACCAGACAAGAGCCACATTCTGGGGCAGGAGGGTGGGGGACCGCCATAATTTATTGTGCCCCTACTGTGTGCTTAGCCCTACACGGGCACTTGAATGTGTTTCCTCATTCAATGTTCAAGTGTTCTTACTCGCATTCAAATGAGAGTTAATTGAGCACCTACTGTATGCCAGGCACTGCCCTGGATGCTTAAGACAGAGTGGTGAGCAAGACAGATGAGGTCCCTGCTCTCATTACAACCCTGGCTGGTAGGTACCGTCGTCGGCCCCACGTATGGATGAGGAGACGGAGGCTTGGTGTGGGCACATGGTTTGCCACCACTTGTGAGCAAACCCCAGCCTGTCCAACCCCTAAGCCAAGCCGACCCTTTTCCATGCTACCTCTCATGGCCATTCTCCAAAAAGTCCAGCACTGCCCCGGACTTGGCCCTGCTTTGTGTCCAGGGCTCTGGCGCCTTCCTGGCCCTGAGCCCAGGCTCCAGGCCGCCTTCGCTATGGGCTCTCGGGGCCCTGCCCCAGTCACTGCTCCCGTCCCTCCCGGCCAGGTTTAGCCACACAACAGTAGGGAAATGAACCCTCCCAGACACAGTGCTGCGTGGTGACCTTTTACACTCCACGTCACCTTTGCCCTCACAGCCACTGTCGGGGCAGGTGGACGAGGAGACTGAGGTTCCGTGAATGTCTCTGACTTGCCCAAGATGGCAGAGACATGACCAGGCAGTCCAAGAGGCCCTGGCTTCCAAGGGAGACTGCCAGCCTAGGGCGACATTCCTTGGCCACGCTGCCCCACACCCCCATCCCTGTTCCCCGAGAAGACGGAGCCCCTGTCCCCTTCCAACAGGCTGACCAGCAGGGAAACCTTTCTTCTCACTTCTGGGCCAACAGCCACAGCTGTGGGGACACAGCCAGGACACGCCTGTGACTCTGGGGCTGCGCTCACCGGCCCTCACTCTCCCCCTCACCCATTCCTCCTGCTGCTGCCTGCAGTGTCTCTTGTCCCCAGAGCAGGGGTGGCAGCGGGGGTGGCAGCTGTACCCCGACAGGCAGCCTTAGCCGGCCTCATTCACTGTCCTTGAGGAAACCCTGAATGCACCCTTGGAACTAAGGGCAGGAACAAGAGAAGAAGTAAACAGAGAAGGCAGGAAAGAACAGGCTCACAAATCCCCAGATTTGATGCCAAGAGGCTGAGAAGAGCAGAAGGTTATGGAAAGGGGCCCCAAGGGGAAATTCGTATCTCTCTTGGTGGGGTCAGCAGAGTCTGGAGTGGGAGCTGGAGCCCAGAGGTCTCTGGCCATGTTCCCCTCACTAGCTCCATGCCACCCCCTAGTGGCTTCAGCACTAACTGCAGGACCAGGACTGCCAATGTCTGAGGGGAGGGGTGGGAGTGGAGGAGCCCCGGCTCACCACCTTCCTGACTCTCCCCTGCCCCTCTCTGTTTCCCCAGGCCTGTGTGGGACCTGATAAAGCCAGAAAGGTAAGTGGCTGGGGCTCCAGGCTTTTCTCGGCTCTGCCAGCCCCTCTCCTAGCATGGGAAACGCCCAGCGACTCTGTCCTGATGCTTTTGGCTTATTGCAGGAGGAGAAACAAGGGCAGTGGGAAGAGGAAGAAAGAGAAGCAGAGACCCACAGTCTGCCACCTGTGAGTGCGCTGGGGGGCCCAGGGGTGACACGGAGGCTGGGCCGGAGGGGAGCTCCCACCAGCAGGAGTTAATGGTCAGGAAGGGGCACAGCAAGGCCCAGAGCAGTGTTAGGGCAGAATAGGGAGCTGCGTCCCTGGAGACCCTAGGGCCCAGGCAGCCTCGGGGGGCCCTGGTTCTCGTCCTGGCTTAGTCCGAGTCTTTGTGTGGCCTTCAGCAAGTCATGTCACCTCTCTAAGCCCAGTTTTTCTTTCCTGTGTAAAATGAGACTTCGGGGGCCCACCAAGCATTTAGTCATTCCAGAAATATTTACCAAGCACTTACTGCCTGCCACGTGTACAGATAAACAAACCAGCAAAGTGCTTGCTCTGAAGTGCTTGCTTACCTTCTGGTGATGCCAAGTCCAGAAGCCGAAAATGTATCCTGGGCTACTTCCCAGAGGCCTCGGGGGAGCAGCAGCCTCCCACGGGCTCTCAGCCCCAGACCCTGTTTCTGTCCCCGCAGGGGGTCTTGGGGTCCACTCGCTTCCTGTCTCCCTATCTGTCCACCTTGGCTTCACACCGGGAAGCCCACATTGGAGTCCAGGCATGAGTGTGAGGCCTGGGAGAGAAGGATCAGAGCAGGGAAAACCCAAATCTGGGAGAGTAAATCGTAAAAACATTTCACATCCGCAGTAACTCAGTCACACCATGGTTCCTTTCAGCTCCAAGACACCAATAGATCATTTTATGCCATGGGACTGGGGCTGACCCACCTGTTACCCCATGGGTCTGCCTCTCCATGAGCAGGGATGTCCACCCCACCCCGGAAGACAGGGATTCTGGGGGAGCTGGTCTCCTCAAGGCATGTGGCCCTCACTCCTCCCCTGGGCCCAAGCAGCAGCGTGGGGAAGGGGCTGGCAGTGTGGTCGGTGCATGGCCCGCGGTCAGGCAGGCCCAGGTAGAGTGCGGCTCATTGCTCCATCTTCCAGGACGGCAGTCTTCAAACATCTCATTCAGGGGCCTCCTGAAACAGCCTCAAAAACCCATGTGCTCCCTTGCTCATTTTTTAAAAATAATTTTAATCCTCACTGAGAATATGTTTATTGACTTTAGAGAGAAAGGAGAAAGAAAGAGATAAAGAGAAAGAAAAAAAAACATTGATGGAGAGAGAAACATTGATTGGTTGTGTCCTGCATGTGCCCTAACGGGGGACCAAACCCAGAACCTTGGTACGATCCCTGACTGGGAATCAAACCAGTGACCTTCTTGTGCACAGGGCAATGCTCCAACTAACTGAGCTGCTCGGCCAGGGTCCTTGCTCATTTTTAAGTTATCATTGAACATTTCCACCAAAATTATACGTGGTTGCAAAGATATAATTTCTGGCATGTTATAAAAAGTAATGTTTTAATATAAAGCCGCTAAATTCTTCAGCTGTATCCTATGGAATAAGACATGTTAATTTAATACCATCATCCACTTTAAAAAGAAATGAACAACAGACACGAAAAATATAAATATTTGCATTGCTTCTTTTTTCCTTGAATTTATATTTTCATTTGACTTCCCCCACAGAATTTCAGTCTAAGTAATTATTTTTAATGTTCAAGTCTTTTATATATCACCTTCTCATCTATAAAAGATATACATTATCACTTTGTGTATCTGCTACGATAATGTATATAAGTTTGAATTATTTTAAATTTCCAACAAACATAAACTCCAAATTAAATTTTCTCCTGGAATGAACTGTCACCATAATTATTAGTAGTACCAGTTGATCAAAACAGCACAGATGCATTATATTTCAATCAGTGTTAAACATAAAAGTGCAATCCATCTCATTAGGGATGCATCTCAATGAGGTGGGTGTGGCTACCTCTTTCAAGTAACGAACCAGTTCAGGGCGTTACCTCTTGCAGGACTGAAACAGGGTTTAGCCTATGTTCAAGCCCTGTTCACCATTTCACGTAGCTGAAAAGGGTGAGAAACCAGGCTGACACCAACCCATAAATGGGACTAGATGTCAGTCACTTGAGCTCTTCGACCTAAGAGTCATCCTAACCTGTAGAGAATTTTTAAGTTTATTTGAGCCATACTGACACTTGCCAGGGAGCAAAACCTCCATGGACTGAGAAATCGTCCCAGAGAGTGGCAGTTTGCAGCTTATTTTGTGCATGAGAATCACAAGAGGAGATGTAAGGAGACCTAAGGAGGGCGAAATCGTCGGTGGCAGATTAGGGTGGCCAGAGAAAGCCACGTGGGGAACTCTCTGGGAATGGATAAAAAGTGAGGCAGAGAGACGTGTGCTCCTCACACAGGATGGCCACACTCACAGCGCACTGAGGTGGCGTGCGGGGGAACGAGGGAACAGTGAAGGGCTGCGGTCTCTGCTTCGAGGCCGTGCTCTGACGGGTCTGGAAAAGGAGATCACGCTGACATTTCAAAGGTATGTTACCTTAGATGCACGAAGACAGTGAATAGGCTCAGTTACGATAAAGACGGACTCTGTCCAAGAAGCTACTGGCCCGGGATACGACTCCCTGCCATGACCCTCTTCGGTGTTCAGACCATCCTGTGTGGTTACCCTGGGTCTCTGAGTTTGCAGGGCGGGCCTCCCCTGAGCTTATCAGGTTTAGGATGTGGACCCTTTTTCATCCACAAACTCCTTCCAAGTTACCTGCCTAAACCTCAAGGGGATCGAGTAACAACAGTTCCTTCTCGTGACCCATTAGCGGACAGTTCGCTCAAGTTCTTTAATCTCGTTTGAAAGCAAAGGCTTGGAAACCACCTGATTTGCAGAAGGCTTGGCTACCCAGTCATTTACTTATATTTTCTTTCCCAACACCTGCACCCGTATCTCACGCTCTTCTCTGTTCAGTGACCCCTGGGTACTTTTGCCTTGGGGCAAAGTATTATCTTGGCATCAGAAGTGGGTGGGATGCTCCCAGGTAGAAAGGCAATTAACTGTGAACTCTCAAGATAGTGGGGAAGCAGACCTCTCAGGCAGGCCGTTTTCAGGCGGGGCACCAAAAGTGAATCCCTTTAAAACCATTGATACTCACACACATCTCGGGCAATCTTGACGTATATCTGGGGGCACCAGTACCCTGGTTTGAAGACTGCTGTCCCAGACTGATGAGAAGTGTTAGAGTATGGAGCCAGACTGGGCCCATGTCACCGACTAGCTGTGTGACCTTGAATAGGTTTCTTAACCGCTCTGAGTCTCAGTTTCCTCATCTGCAAAAGGTTGATAACAGAGCCTTCCTCGTGAGATATTATTAAGGGTAAGCGAGAGAGTGCTTAGCGCAGGGCTGGGCGCCTGGGCGCGTGCTTGGTGAAGGGTCGCTAATGGCTTGTTTTTGGCCTTGGTGCAAGCAGATATCCTGGCATGCTGCAATCTCCGTGCACCCTGTCCCAGCTTCCCTTCTGGGTTTGTCCCCCCTCCTGTAGGAGGGGAACCCCCCACCCCACAGTGTGCTGATACCTGCTTTCTGTGCTTGATCTCCGGCAGGTGCGGCAATACTACTCCTCTGAGGTAACCAGCCCTTCGGAGGAGAGAGACCCCACACCCGGCTCCTGTATTTATTATCATCACACTCTCAGTTACCTCCCTGCTGGCACCTGCCCTCTATTTATTAGCCAATTGTATCCCTGCTGAATGACTCGCTCCCTCTAAGATGAGGGACAGGACCCTCAGGAATTCAGTGCCTTAAACAGAACGTGAGAGAAAGAAGGCAGCCATGGATTGCGTATGTGCCAGCTTGGGAAGAAGCGAGACATGCGGCTTTGTCAGGGGCAAGTCGGGGCCCAGAGGCCCCGGGGGTCTCCAAGGGGCTGGAGAGAGGAGAGAAGAGGGGGAACCCACTGCCTGTCCCTGGGCCTGGGGCTCTGCACGGACCAGAAGCCCTTGCTTTGGAAGCTCCTGGCGAGGACAGGGGTGGGGGGGGATTGCTCCAGCAGCTGCAGCCATGGCCCGGCTGAGTGGGAGGCAGGCAGGGGTGGAGGCATCCTGTGGCTTCCTCTTCCTGGCCAGGGTTCTGCACCCTGAAGAGCAGACCGTGCAGCTCTGGAGAACAGTGGGCACCTGGGGCCTTTGTCACTCCCAGTCCCCTGTGGTTTCTCCTCATATTTGGACACTGCTTGTTCTTTGTGGCCAAGGAAGGCTTCCCACTTTGCCCCTGTCAAGGACACAGGCGAAGAGTGGGCCCCAGGCTGGACATGGAGCGAGCTGCCCTGCATGGCTGCCTGACCGCCAAGCCAGATTCTCTTGAATAAACTTATTCTAGTCTGGAATCAGCTTCTCCAGGGGAGTGTGTCTGCCGGAACAGTGGGCAACAGCAGAAAGTGGAAGCGGGACAGAAGGTGGGATCGTGGGCCCCAAGCCTGCCCCCGGAGTGGCTCCAGCCTCTCCTGCAGCGTCCTGGGGTGTCTTCCTCCCGGCCACTTTAGGCAAAAAACCCGAGGTCTACTCTTCTCATGAGAAGAAAAGGAAACCCTTTCATCTTAAGGTTTCCTAAGATGGAGTCTTGGCCTCAAAGTCGAGGGACCCTGGCCCCAGTCTCCTCTGAACATCTTCAAATTCAAGAGCACAGTCCCCTCCCCCTCGCCCCAGGGCCACCTCACACCCAGCCCAGGGCCTGGTCCTCTGGACTCTGACTGAATGGGGGGCGCCCCAGCTCCTCAGGTCCTGGCCCCCCAGAGAACAGAACTGCGCACCTCCAGCCTGCTGAGTGCAGGGGTGTGCTGATGCTTTTGGGTTTTCTCTTCCTCTTCCTCCCCACCTTCCCCCACCTTCCTCCTGAAGGCCTCCACGTGAAATAAGATAAAATGCTTTAACAAGCTTTTCATTGCGAACCACACGGTATCAGACTCCCATCTACCTCTGACCTGAAAGGCACATGGTTCCGTTGTCGCCGTGCAGGTGGTGGAAGGGGAGTCCCCCACGGTCTCTCACTGCAGGCTGCTCACGACAAGGCCATGGCCCGGGGCAGGCCCACCTCGGGCTTTGGAGGGGAGCCGGGAGCAGTCCAGTGGGTGGGGTGTCCCTGCTGAGGCAGCTGCCCTTGGCAGTCTGTTCACTGAGGCCTGGGCGCCCCAGAGGACACTCTGGTCAGGGTGTGCTTCTGGCTGGCGGTTACACAGGCGGGGTGTGCCAGCTGCAGAGGACATGCTCTGCAGAAGAACCTCACTTTCTCTCCTGCTTCTCCTGTCCTGGGTTGCAGCCATTCTGAGCCATTGCCTTTGATGGATTGAGAGCTGAAAATAGCACCCTTCTCCCCCTTCACTGGGCCCTGGCTCCGCCCCAGGGACCCCAGCCCCTCAGTTCCTGTAGCATATCCAAGGCTCTCAGCTTCACAGATCACCCACGTGGAACTCCGCCTCCCCACCCAGGCTGCAGGCCCCTGTGAAGAGCTAGACAGCGGCGCAAACACCTGCCCCCTCGGCCAGGAGCAGTGGTAGTGAGCAGGACAGGAACTGACCGGCCCATGTGACCCGCCTGGATCAGTTAGGCCCCCAGCGGCCCTTTCTGTTTGCCCTTCCTGTGCATGTGCAGCACCACCTGCACAGGGGACACTGTCCTGGGCGCCAAGGACCCAGGGCGGAATGAGGCACACCCGGCTCTGCCCTCGCAGATGCTGCGTTTGGGCGGAGAGACCATAATCATGAGCCACAGGACACTGGGTGGACCTTTTGTTGCTCCAACTGGTGACTGGACCTGAGGAACTAAGGAAATTGAACTAAGGAAAAAGGGGCCTTGAGTCCACCACACTCCAGAACAAAGGAACAGTTTCAGGCTGGGCACATCTGCCTGCAGGGTTTATTAAGAGACGGCTGAAGTCATTCTGCTAGGCCCAAACATCACCCAGCACCCCCTGGAGCGCCCTCCATAAGCCAAAGATCAGGGAGGGTGAAGGGAGGGAGAGGGAAGGGAGGCGCCAGAGACCCGGGTCGCTGGTCCCTCTCCCTCCACAGCCTGGAGCTGGATTTGCCCACTTCTGGCTGAATGAGAACCAGGGGGAGTGGATAACTGAAGAGCGACAGGGGGCAGAGAGAGGGGACCTTTGGAGCATCCAGCAGGAGTTTCCCGTGGGTCAGGAGATCATGGTGAAAAGTGGTGGCCATGAGTATCCTTGTCCACAGTACCCCAAAAGGGAGGTGTGGAGTGGGGGGACCCCATAGCTACAGGCCGTGGGTGTAGGGTTGGGGCGATGGCTGAGTGGAGGGTATCAGATGTAGAGCTGGAAAGGAAGCACGTCGGGGAACAGTGCTGTGGGGTGGCCCTGAGGTTACCAACAAGAAAGTCGGTGCCTGGATGCCTGTCATGCTAGGCACCGTCATAGCCAGAGAAGGAATGGCCACAGCTAAGAGGGACTTCCCCCGATTTCTCCCTCCTGCCCTGTGTGAAAGGAAGAGGGAAGTGGGCCCTGGCTGGTGTAGCTCAGTGGATTGAGCTGGGGCCTGCGAACCAAACAACTGTGGTTCAATTCCCAGTCAGGACACATGCCTGGGTGCACAAGAGGCAACCATACATTGATATTCCTCTCCTTCTCTCCTTCCTTTCCCCTCTGAAGATAAATAAATAAAATCTTTAAAAAAAAAATAAGAGGGAAGTGGGGAGGAGCGTGGGGCCAGACCATGTCCCTTTCCGAGTCCTTGAGCCCAATCCAGGCCCTGTCGTGGGTAGAATGTGTGATACTTAAACTGGACGGAACGGTCTACATGTAGCTGCACCTTTAATACATGAAAGTGACAGGGACATTAGAAGACCAGCCCAAATGCTACCAAGACACAAGAAAAGGAGAATCAACATAGTTCATCTAGAAGCAATGATGACAGAAAAAAACAACCCAGGTTTGTTTGTACTTTCACTGTTCCATAAGCCGGTTACAGATGTAAACAAAGAAATGAACCAGGAAATGTCATTGCCCAAATGTGGCTCTGGCACGTTAGATACAGCCTCGACTTCTCTGACATTCCTCCCCACGAGGGAAGGTCTCCCGTCCCTCCTTTTGAATCTCAGTTGACCAGGCTCTGCTTCGACCCACAGAGCGCGGCAGAAGGGACCCTATCAAAGTTCCAAGTTCTTTCAAGAGAACTGGAAGCTTCTGCCTTGGTCTCTTGGAACCCCGAGCTCCCACGTAAGAGGTTCAGTGATCATGAGGTCCCTGTGTTGGGAGAAAGCCCAGACCAGGCGTGTGGAGGTGTGTGGAGAGCCAGGTGCTGGGCCAGCCTCCAGGTGTTCCGGGCCCCCAGCCTGCACGGTCATCTCAGCGGAAGCCCCAGCCCCGTGGAGCAGAGACAGCTGCGCTCTGATCAACCTGTGGAATCATGAGACGTGGTAATAACAAACTGGGGCTGTCTGTCAGGCGGCAATAGGGGCTGAACAGAAAGTAAGGAAAGGAGGTGAGACAGCGTTTGGGGGAAAGCGCTGTAGACTGGGCAGGCCTCTCTGCGGAGGTGACATTTGTGGTGAAGTTTGAAGGACAGCAAGGAGTTCACTCCAAAACAGAGGACAAGAGTACAGAGCACTCCAAACAGAAGGCAACGCCGATGTGACAGTTTTGGCAGGGACCCCACGTGGCTGGAGGGGAACAAACACGAGATGTGCTGTTAGCGGCAGACAGAGGACAGAACCTGGAGGCACTGCAGGGTTGGGAGTTTGAATTCGGTTAGAATGTGGAGGGGAACCGTCGGAGGGTTTCAAACAGGAGAATGAAGAGATTATTACATATCTTTCTTTGTGGAGACCCTTCTGTGTGGAGAGTGGACCCCAGGACACAAAACCAGAGGACCAAATACCACTTACAAGGCTGTAGCACATCCGAGCAACCGATCATAACGGCTCAGTTTGGAGGGAGAGAAGTAGAGGGTTCGGTCTTAATTCCTCCAGGGAGCTGGGTACCCTGATTGTGCATCCGTGAGCACTGTTGAGTCTGCCAGGAGCAGGTGTGGCACGGGTACGGGGGCAAAATACACTAGTATGTGAAAGTCTTCCCGGTTTCCCACTTACTGAAGAAAATCGCATGCCGTGAGAAACAAGGAGACTAGGAGAGGGGTTTTAGCTGAAAAGGCTGAGCTGACTACCGAGGACTAAGAGAAGCAGGCTGAAAAACGGATTGAAAAGACTTCCAGGCTGCATCTAGAGAAAGAGCTGGGGGTTTGCAGATGTAAAAGCTTCCTATGATTAAGACAAAGTGGGGAGTGAAGGGAGGGTTTTGAAAAGTGCTGCTACACTTCCCTCCTGTCGAAGTTCCTAACGTTCTTTGAGAGACACTCACTCCAAAGGCAGAGACCCAGCCCAGTGGGAAGCCTGGATTAGGTGGAGTTAGACAGAGAGAGATCAGAAGACATAGTCTCTGACGTTACAAAGTTAGTCAAAGGGATCAGATACGCACAGGTGACTATAAAAGGCAAGAAGAACACATGGCTTAAGCACATGCTGATGAGGTGTTGTTAAAGAAATCTCAGATATTTGAGATGACTTCCACATTGGGAGAAGCAGCGCAGGCTTTGCATTTGAGCCGTGACTCGAGGAATAGACCACACTGAGCTTGGGGAGACGACTGGCGAAGGTGTTCTAGATCCGCGCCACCCGTCAGCGAAGACCGAGAGGTGGAAAACCCAGAGCGGTGTAGGGATTTTCACATGGTTCCGTTTTGATGCTGAAGTATGTGAAGCAGACAAGTGAGAGAGAAAGCTGCCAGGTGGGCTGGGCCTTGGATGCCACCCTAGGTTGTTAGGGCTTTGCTAGGCCGTAGGAGGCACTGAATTTTTTAAGCAGGAAAATATTTAAGTGGGAGAGTCACATGGTCTTGGAATTTAAGGCTGAAAGTAAATTTACAAAGAGTTCATTTCTATCTCCTTATTTTACAAGTGAAGAAGGTAAGGCCCAGGCTTGTCCAAAACCATGGAAGTTAAGTAAGCCAGAATTTTATTTTATTTATTATTTTTGTAAAGATTTTATTTAGCCCTGGCTGGTGTAGCTCAGTGGATTGAGAGTGGGCCTGTGAACCAAAGGATTGTGGTTCGATTCCCAGTCAGGCCACATGGCTGGGTTGCAGGCCAGTCCCCAGCAGGGGACACACAAGAGGCAACCACACATTGATATTTCTCTCCCTCTCTCCTTCCCTTCCCCTCTAAAGATAAATTTAAAATATATATTTTACTTATTCATATTTAGAGCAAGGGGAAGGGAGGGAGAGAGGGAGAGAAACATCAATGTGTGGTTGCCTCTCATGCACCCAACTGGGGACCTGGCCCATAACCCGGGCATGTGCCCTGGTTGGGTAATCAAACCAGTGACCCTTTGGTTTGCAGGCCGGCATTCAATCCACTGAACCACACCAGCCAGGGCTAAGTAAGCCAGAATTTTAAAGTTTACTAGTAATGGCCCTGGTCACATAGCTCAGTCAGCTAGAGCATCATCCTAATACGCCAAGGTGGTGGG